TCCGCTGCCAATTCATTACGCCGTCGGCTATCTGTTCGCCGCAGACTCGCGGGCGAGAATCCGAGTTCAGATTCCTCTATCAGTTCTGTAACGAGTACAATCGACGGTTCGAAGAAGATGAGCCCCGGGGAGAAAATCCCAAAAATTCACCTGAATTTTAAAGACGATGGAAAGCAGCCCGAGGGATCCGAGTCTTTCTCGGGACAGTTCAGCTCGTCGGGAGGTTCGAGTAGCGTAAATGAAATGAATACTGAGGTATCGACGGTGACTACCGCGGAGGTTAACTCGGACGGCGACTCGGGCGATTCGGTGGTGGAATCCGGCGATTCTTCGTCAAGCATACTTGTGTTGATTTCGGGATTGCTCCTCAAGGCAATTGGGGCTCAACTAAGCTTCTTTGTTTACAGTATCTGCTTTCCCCTGTGGTTCTTATATCATTGTTACACGTTTGTTTTCCATCCTTTTCAAACGATTAAGCTCGGGAAAGCATATGTGACAGGAAAGGTATTTGGAGTTTGGGAACTTGTTTTTTCTCTTGTCAGTTCCTTGATATTTGAACGGTTGAAGGAGCGCAACTCTCTTTGGAAAATTGGCCTCCGCTGTGTGTGGGGTTTGTTGTGGTCGGCTTATGTTTGTTTCATTTTGTGCGGTCTCTTGATTTCGGCTCTTATTTTTAGTGGGTTTCTTATGAGGTTCTTAGTTCAGGAGCCTATCAAGATGAAAGAGATATTAAATTTTGACTACACTAAACACAGTCCTGAGGCATTTGTGCCGATCTTGCCTGATTTAAATAATCTTAATGGTCAGAATTGTAAAGAAAATATCGCAAGTGGGAAGACCCAGTCACGGGTTATCCCTCCTGATCACCAATTGCAGGTCATTGTCTCACTAACATTGCCGGAGTCTGAATATAACAGGAATCTTGGGGTCTTCCAGGTATGTCTTTATTTATTCTGTTTAGGGAGTATGCTTTTTAAATTATTACAAGTAACATAATTTTCTGATTCTTTTGTTGATATGTGAACCCTTGATCTTCATTGAAGTTGAACGATATTATTTTCTCAGAACCAAGAAGTGAACTTGGTATAATCATAACATTAATCGAATGGATAAGATTGGAAATGAGGGTTGAATTCACATTGAGCGTCGACAATGTTAGAATTTGCAGTTTTTTAGTAGAAGAAAACTATAAGAAAGTGTGCTTCTGAAATGAGAATTAATCACTTTGTCTAAGCTTCAATGATCAATTTGGTTGGATAGAGAAAGATATGGGAATTGTAGCTTAATATTCGATGAAATAGGAACTGCCAAAAACTGTATTTATACATCTATGTTTTCTAGTCATGTGCATCAGTTCCTTTCTGCATCATTGTTCCATGAATTTTAAATGAATATAAAAAGAAACGCCACATTAAGAAAAAAAGTTCAAAACAGAGGAGCCTCCTGCAACAAAAATAAGGCTAATATAGTGGTTTTAGTTGTCTGAGTAGAAAAACGACAGGACATTAGATTAAAACTTTCTAGAGAACATTTAAAGAGTTTTCTAACTGTGCGAATGATGAGGGTGGGTTGGTGAAGGCTAATAGAATCATTAGGATCAAACAATCGCACATGATCGTTAATATATCATTAAGTATAGCTAGATTTTGATTTTACTTTGTCTGAAAATTCTATTTTCAGTTATCAGTACCATCAATGGGTGTATATGCTCTCTCTTAAGTGTCTTTGGACTATGTGTATTATGTGAATCCTTGTGGGATATTTGGTGGTTATGCTGCAGGTAAGAGTAGAATTCCTTTCTGTTGGTGGTAACATTCTTGCAAGCTCAAGCCATCCATGCATGTTACAGTTTAAAAGTGAGCCCATTCGCCTTTTACTGACCATCCTGAAGCTTGCACCCCTTGTTACTGGCTATGTATCAGAGACCCAGACACTGAATCTGAAGCTTGGAGGTTTCACCGAAGGAAATATACCGACAGCCTGTCTGCGGGTTACACTTGATCAGCGAGCAGAGTTCAGTCCTGGTGCTGGTATACCCGAAATATACGATGCATCCTTAATCCTTGAATCTGAACTTCCCCTGTTCAAAAGGATTATATGGTTCTGGAGGAAAACTTTATATGTATGGATTAGCATGACATCATTTATGATGCAGTTGCTTTTTACACTGGTCTGTTGTCGACCGATAATCCTTCCGAGAATAAGGAGAAGCGGTGGATCAGCTAATGCGAGCTCCACGGGCAACGGCGCCTCGGCACAAGGTTAATAATTTTGTTGCTCATGTATAAACCCAACAATTCCAACATTGTTGGTTGCTACACACCTAAAGCTAAATATTTAGTATCACCAATTCTTTTATTATTCTTCTTCTTTTGCTTTGACTTGTATGTTCTTGGTCTGAAGTGAATGAGAATGAGAAAGTAGCAGATCATATTTATGTCCTCTTTACAGCATTTGAAACCATTTCAATTGAGCATGAACAATTTGGAGAGCAGTGTTTCTGTTTAACCTGCATTGGAGTGAAGTTATGTTAAACTGTTAACTGATCCATTGTGTGTGTGACCCGATAGTTGGGAAGATGCAAAACCTCAATAATCTTTGACTTGGAACCTTTTATTAGAGTCATAATCAGATTATTGTTTTTTCTTTTATGTTAACTTGAAGCAAGCAACTTGTGCATTGATGAACAGTATTCATGTGAACTTTCATGCAGCCATCAAAATTTGAACTTATCCTGATCCAAATGGTGGATTATTAGTTTTGCACGAGAATCCCAACACCAATCTTTAGTTATGTGAAATCAAATACTCGTTCATTTGCAATCTTTGAATAAAGTAGAACAATTTATCACAGGAGTAGCATGTGAGTTTCTCCATGCACTTTTAAGCCATTTGAAGTACAAGAAAGAAAAATTGGTGGCACAAAGACAAGCCTTTCATGATGAGGATCCATTACGACTTCTGAGAAAGGAAGCACTTTTGGTGATCTCTCCTAGAGGCTTGTCTGTGAACCTAATGGTATTATAGACCAAAGCACCCGAAATCGCCCCTAAAACAGGCGCTATCATGTAAATCCATAGCCCTTTAAATTGTTTCCATACTATAGCAGGTCCCAAGCTTCTGGCTGGATTCATGGATGCTCCAGTAATTGGCCTGAGAGAGAATAAATAGCTTTTTACTTAGAATAACATCGGTACCGGTACTGATGCTCTTACAAGGTGAACAGATTAGGCAAGAGATATAAAACCCAAGTACAACATTGGTCTGGAGATTCATTGTTCAATAACTCTCATCAAAAAGAATATCCCATGATAGTGGTACCAAATAGTTTTCTTGGAAGATATAAAAATTTAATACCCTGCAAACATCACGTTGAGCAGCACGGTAGCACCGACAGCAAGTCCAGCAAGTTCGCCGATCTATTAGATCAAGAAAGGTAAATCAGTTATTAGTCCGGAAGAAATTGTGAGGAGAAGATGAAGAAGAGGAACTAACGGCTCTATTGTCAGTGGCAACACCAGACACCACAAACATGAGGTAAAATGTGATAATGAATTCAATCACAAAGGTCTGCAAATACGAGTCACTTGGGAGAGTCCCTGCAAAGTGGTCTTGTTTTCCACTAAATATTAGCCTAAGTGTCCCACTTGCTAATGTTGATCCAAGAACTTGAGCCACCACAAATGCAGGCACCTGCAACAAATTTTTGATTATCTCCACATCAGAATTAAATTAGCATACCATTTTTGTCTTATTTGATTTGAGATTTAAATCGAATAAGACAAAAATGGAAAAGGTTTTGATTTTCCTGTTTTACAGGTCAAGAATAACTTCATTTCCATATCAAACCAAGCAGGAAAAAAATGGAAATGACAAGAGGCTGGTTTACCTCCTTCCATGGAAATCTCTTGGTAATGGCAAAGGCTATGGTGACAGAGGGGTTAAAATGGGCACCAGAGATGTGGCCAACGGAATACACCATCACCATTACAACTAAACCCCAAGCAATAGAAATCCCTGGGAAGGTGATAATTCCATCTGTGCTCAAATTCACCACTACTGATGCTTCCCCTGCAAATATCAAGAAATATGTCCCCACCACCTCTGCAATCAACTATTTCCACACCAAAGCAAAAATATCAGCCATTAACGAAAACTTGGAAATGGGTTTTCCACCATCTGGATTATATGACTTGATTTCAAGATTTTCAGACTTAACAGAGAGAGAGAGAGATGAGAGAGACCTTCTGAATGAAAGGAACAGAGACACAGTCAGCTGCGGGATCATCTTTCACATTCAAAGAAACACTGTGGTGTCCATTGCTTGATCCTGAACTTTGAGCCATGATTGGTGGATAAAGAAGCAAGCAGAGAATTGAGAATCAGAGGAAAGAAACTTGCCAAAACCCAGATGGAGAGTTGCAATATATAGAATCCCAAAAGGCCAAAATGGTGAGAGAGAGAGAGAGAGAGAGGGGAGTGATCAATGAAGATTTGTTTCCTTGTGGTTATGGAGGTTACTGAGAATTGCGATGAAAGAAGCTGGGAAAGAAGAGGAAGTGATAAAATTCACCATTTAACATTGCTTTACTGGATATACAGAGAGATATGAATGGCTTTCTAATCAAAATTACCAATTTTGCCACCCCCCTTACCTGCCCCTTCAAAGGACTTGGGGGCACTTTGGACCCAATTTTTACTTGGTTTTAGTATGGGGCAATCTGATTCTTTAAAAAGGAAATCTTTTTTGAAGTTTCCAAATTCAAAGCTGTCAAATGAAGAAGAATGTTGTTTCATTGGATATGGTTTAAAAGTGGATAAAACCACGAAGTTCTATTTTTAAGCTATAAGATAAATGTTTTCTAACTTTGGAGGGTTTAATAAGTTGGATTTGGTAGGAAACAATGCTAGCTTGAAATAAAGAGGAATGAACGGTCTGGTTTTGAAGAATTGTATGCAGTTAAATTCTTTTACAGGTCATCACTTTGGATCCTATATCAACAAATTCACCCGTGCCCAAATGGCGCATTTTCAAAATATTTTAAAAGTAAGTAATTTCTTTTCTTGGTTTCACAAAATTTCCTCCGAGTTGTTACGTCTTGGGAAGATTGATGTAATTTCACCTTTTGCTCATGTGGCTTAATGATATTTCTCTTTTTTTTTTTAAAGTAAGATGAGTTATCGATTTTCAATGGTGATAAATACTCACTGCGAACAGTGGAGATTCAAATTCATAATCTTTTGGATATAAGTGTCTTAATTAATCAGTTGAGCTATATTCAAACTGACATTTTTTTCATCGTTTTTTTTTAGTTTTAGTTCGAATACTTTATTATCTGTAGTTTGTACTCACATTTTTCAATGATTGGCTTATACGTGAGGTGGGATTCGAACTTCGAACTCACAACCAAAGGTTGGAGATTTGTGTATCGCCTATGCTCGCTTTGTCACCTCAATAGAAATCTTTTAACGTTACATTATTGTTTGATTAATTTTATAAGCGTGGAGTATATAAAATAATGATCACATTTGTAACGTTTTCTTTTTCCTCATTTTTTGTTTTTTCTTTTTCCAAAATAATTATCTCTGGTAAATATTTTTTGTTTATTGTCTTTTTAAAGAAAAAATGACAAAAAAAACATTTTTTAAAAACTATTTCCTTTCTTGTTCTCTAAAATTTTATATAAAAGTTAAAATTTCAAATTTAATATTCAAAATTCTCATGTTATACTTATTTTTTTTTATATTCATTATGCATCCCCTATGTATAAATGATATAATAATGTTTTTATCTCTCCTTCAAGAAAATTGGAAACTAAAAATAGAAACAAAAAAACAAAAAAATTGATTTTATTTTTTAATTTTCTACCTAATTTTAAAAACGTTTCTGGAAGATGAGAAACAAGAAATAAAAACAACTCCAAATTGAAAAAAAAAAAAAATCAAATAACCACTACTTAGATATACCTTGTGCATTGATGAACAGGATTCATGTGAACAAGTTCGACAGCCATCAAAGTAATTTGAACTTATCCCTTATCCTAATCCAGAGATGTGGGATTCTTAGAGTCCCAACACCAATGAAGTTCATGTGTGAAATCAAATACTTGTTTTATTTCAAAAGTAAAACCAAAAACAATTTGGTATTCGGAAAAACATGCAAGTTTCTCCTCGCACTCTAAGCCATCTAACTCTATTTCTACACTAAATTTTGAAGTACAAGAAAGAAAAAAAAGGCATTTTGCCATAACCCCTGCTTTTCAAGGTGAGGCGCTACGACCCTGTCCTTTGAGAAAAGAGGCACTTTTAGTGATCTCTCGTAGAGGCTTGTCTGTAAATCTGATGGTATTGTACACCAAAGCACCTGAAATTGCTCCTAAAATTGGAGCTACCATGTATATCCACAACCCTTTGAACTGTTTTGACACCAAAGCTGGCCCCAAACTTCTCGCTGGATTCATTGATGCTCCTGTAATTGGCCTGAAAAAAACACCATTCACAAATAAATACATACCAAATACAAATGGTTGGTTCTACTTTCAAAATCCTTGCAAGATATCATAATTTAATACCCTGCAAACATGACGTTGAGAAGCACTGTGGCGCCGACGGCAAGTCCAGCAAGCTCACCGATCTGTAAGATCAAGGAAGGCAAGGCAAATCAGTGATTGACTAAACAGAGAAAGTTTGAAGCTTTGAAGCTTTGAAGATGAGGAACTACTAACGGCTCTATTGTCAGTGGCAACACCAGACACCACGAACATGAGGTAAAATGTGATTATGAATTCAACCACAAAGGTCTGAAGATATGAGTCACTTGGGAGAGTCCCTGAAAAGTGGTCTTGTGTTCCATTAAATATTAGCCTCAGTGTCCCACTTGCTAGTGTTGATCCAAGAACTTGTGCTACCACATACGCTGGCACCTGCAACAAACAAATTTCGATTAGCACACCCCTTTTTGTCTTGTTGGTGAAAAACAAACCAGATTTGACAGAAAAGGCTAGCACAAGAATCTCCCTACCTAACCTCCCTAGAATTCTCACCCAAGTGGGGAAATTTTTGGGTTTCTTGTTTTGGGGTTCAAGAAATTTACCAAACGAAACCAAGAAAAAAGAGTTGGTTTACCTGTTTCCATGGAAATCTCTTGGTGATGGCGAAGGCTATGGTGACAGCAGGATTGAAATGGGCACCGGAGATGTGGCCAACGGAATACACCATCACCATTACAACCAAACCCCACGTGATTGAAATCCCTGGGAAAGTGATGACTCCATTTTTGCTCAAATTCACCACCACTGATGCCCCGCCGGCAAATATCAAGAAATATGTGCCTACCACTTCTGCAATCAACTGTAGTTTCCACCACCAAGAACAAAAATTTCAGCCATTCAATCACAAATCCAGTTAACTTAACCAGAGCTTGAAAATGGTTTTTCGTTTTCCATCAAAAACAGAGAGAGAGAGAGAGAGAGAGAGAGGAAAGACCTTCTGAATGAAAGGAACAGATATGCAATCGGCTGATTCTGCGTTGGTCACGGCTGTGGAATCATCCTTGATGTTCAAAGAAACAGCGTGGTGTCCATTGCTTGATCCTGAAATCTCAGCCATGATTGATGAAGCAGAGAAGTGGGATTCAAACAAAGTGGCAGATTTCTTAAGATTAAGCTCTGATTTTTGTTCTTTCCCAGGATTGTTCCAAAACCCAGATAAAACAGGTGCAATTTATAGAACCCCAAAAGTTAGAAATGGGAACAGGGAGAGAGGGAGAGAGAAGATTGACCAATTTACGTTTGTTTTCTGGTGGATATGGGGGTTACTTTAGTATTATATTGCAATCACTTTGACATTGTAGATATCGTTGAAAATTGTGATGTAATAAGTTGAGAGAGAGAAATTGAAATTCACAGTTGAACGCTGCTTCGATCCAACCACCCGCCGGATATACAGAGGGAGAGAAATGAATGCATTTCTGATCAAATTTACCCATTTTATCTCAATAACTTGGGAGCACTTTGAACTCAAAATCTTTGCTGAAATTTTTGGGTTTTTTTTTGGTGGAAGTGTCAAAATTCAACGCTGTCAAATTGGAACAAGGTTATTTCACTGGATATGGATAACAGGATTGACCATAAAAAATCCCATTTTTAAGAGACATGCATATTAATATTAATATTTTCTAATTTCGGTTTAAGTTTAATCATCTGGATTTGGTAAGCGGCAACTCAGTATCTAGGTATAAACAGTATGGTTTTTAAGTTTATGTTGGAAAATGGAAGTGGTTAATACTCCGAAAAACTTAATATATCTTAAGATAATTTTGAATAATTACTCTCCTTTTTAATGTCGGTGATTAAATTTGATTCAATCATTGTCCAACTGGGTTAATTGAAATTTTTTTTTAATTTTTAAATACACGTATTATCGGCTTATTTAAGAATTTAATCTTGTAAAAATTACTTCAAACAGTTAAATTTATTTTCTTTGTTCGTCTAAATTTTAAAACAATTTTCTAAAAAGTCAAATATAAATAAGTAAAATAAGTCTTAATTCTCTACCTACAATTTTTCTCACTACCTTCTTTATAAATACATTAATTCACTCACTTCTTTCTATACCCACATTTTATAATTTTAATGAGTTAATATTAATCATAACAACTTATTCTCTAAAAATTGTTTGAAAGTAAAAGTCATAAAAGAAAGTATTGAATAAAATAGAATTAAAATAGATATATACATATAAAATTTTATTGACGGTCTCGACATTCTTGTGCATCTCCTTGCGACTTGGATGCGTCACTAGATCAGGATCATTCGCATCTTGTTGGTATTAAGGAGTTGCTATCAATTCTTCTAAGTCATTTTTAATCGTGTTTCTATTATCTCACTTTTTCATCCGGGCGTGGTGTTGGTAAATTGAAAATTTTGAGTTAATATAACTCTGATAAACTCGAATTTGAATCGTTCAAATCGAAGAATTTTTTAACGACCCGTAATTTATGCAACTTAAAGTAGTAAAGAGTTCTGAAAGAAAATTTTGGTGCGTCTTGACAAACCCATGTGTTTTGTGGAGTTATTTTCCCATTCCTTTTGGGCATTCAACCGTCAGTGGGTGAGTTTGATGTTCAGTTGGGGTAGGCCTAAAGCTAAATTAATAGCACGTGGGACCATGTTTGGACAAAGGTTATATGGCTTTTAATTTTATGGGCACATTTCCAAATTAAATTAAAAACAAATTATAATTTAAATATATTATCAAATACAACGAATGGTATTCATATTCAATATGAATGACTTCACACTTTGTCATTCATTACGTGGTTTAATTTTATGTATATAGACATTATAATCTTGTTTCTTGTTCATTTCTACAGCGCACAATGGAAAATTTTCAGTCCCAATATCTTTTGCTGGGTTATATAATAATTATATGCATAGTTGAGCTCTAATGATTGTAATTATTGGACTTTTGGACTTTTGATTTTCTGAGGGATACTACCTAATCGAAGTTTAATCCTACAATTAATGGTTTTAATTAGCTCAATAAATGGAGCGCTTGTGTATACGACAAAATAAGTTCAATTATGAACCATCTAAATATAACTCTACTGATTAAGATATATATCTTTGTTAAAAAAGTCGTGGATTCAAATCTCCACACCCACATGCCGTTGTACTAAAAAAAAGTTCAATTATGTGTAATTAATATATTAGTAACATTCTCCACGTGCAAATATATCAAAGAAAAAAAACCAATCCAAATTTATTTATAAAAAAAAAAAGTTAAAATAATCTTAGTTTATCACCAACAGAGGAAGAACGTAAATGGGTGATATACGATGGTAAAAAGAAAATTATGTAAAAAATTTTAAATTGGCATGTGAAACATAAAAAAACAAAAAAAATTGTTATATTTGTCAAATAATAATAAATTGGTAAGTGAGACACTTAAACTAACTTTTCTTGTTATTTATTTCTAGTTTTATTGATAAACTTAAACATTTTACCATTGTTTATATTCCTTGTTTTTCATTCGTTTTTATAAAGGTTCTCAAAATTGCCCATTAAAAAAAAAGTTCCCAAAATTATATAAAATTTTGAAAATAAAAAGAGGATTAATTTTGTAACATTCTTATTTCTTGTTTATAGTTTTATCGAGAAACTTAAGCCTTTGTCAATTATTTATGTTTCTTTTTTTTCTTCATTTTTTTAGAAACATTCTCTTAATTGTATAGAAACTGAAACAAAAAAATAAGGTCAATTTGGTAAAGTTTTCGTTTTTGTTTATATTTCTTTATTTTTAATAAAGAAAAATTTAATTTGCATGGCTCCAACACCTCGTGACCAAATAATATTTATATTTATGTTTTGCAATAAATTAGAAATGAAAACAAAAAACAAGAAACTTGCATTCATCGTTTTTAAAATTTCTATATAATTTTGAGAATGTTTCCAACAAATGAGAAACAAAAAACATAATTAGTGGAAAAATGATTAGGTTTCTTAATAAAATTTAGAAATAAAAAACAAAACATTTTTAACTTTTTATTTTTATTCTCATTTTCAGTGAAATAAAATTTTGTCTTTTAAAATGTAATTATTTTTTTATTAAAAAAAATAAGAAAGGAGGAAAAAAAAAACAGCCCTAGTCTTAGAGTGAAAATTGGTGCAAATTTTGAATTAATTGATGAAGGAAAGTGCAGTCAATCATGAGTCATGACCCAAATTTCCAACCTCATCTTAAAGAACAGTTTAAGTTATGTTAAATTAGAAAAAGGAATTACCATTTTCAATGCGCATGCAAAATCCAACCTCCCATTATTTCACACTCCAATCCCACAATCACCATATCGGAGAATTTGGAAATTTGGAAATTTGGAATGTGTAGTTTATAATTTATTAATCAAAACTGATTAATAAATTATACATACATTTTTCAAAATAAACTCATTACTAATTATTTCACATTCCATAAGTGACATTAAGTATTCCAAATATTTTATGATATGTAAGTGTAACCTTTACTTTTGATTTCTTTTAAATTAATTAAAGGCACTTTTTTAAATTTGAAAAGAATCTCCAAAACCTTATTCTCAATATCAGAAAATATATATATTTAAAAATTATTTTCATTACTATACTTTTTTAGGTTTAAATCCTGTAATTTTAATCGTGTAATTTAAAAAAGTGACAAATTTTAACAAAAAATTCATTCACAATGGACACAAATTTATAGCTACACTGCAAAAAAATTAAGTAAGTAAAAAGTCAGGTTAAAATACTATTTTGGTCTGTGTACTTTTCGCTTTGGTTTATTTTGGTACCTTGTAGTTTTAAAATGTTCGTTTTGATCTCTGTACTTTTAATAAGAAGTTTACTAATAGAGACTAAAATGATCATTTTTTAAAAGTACTGGACAAAAATGAACATTTTCAAAGTTTAAAAACTAAAATAAACTAAAGTATAAGTATCAAAATGAACATTTTCAAAATACGGGGACTAAAATGAATCATAGTAGAAAGTACAGGGATCAAAATAATATTTTAACCATAAAATTATGATTAAAAAAAGTTTGAAAGTACAGAAAACACGAAATTGATATTTTGAAAGTACAGCTAAGATACCAAAAAATTAAGATCAAATCAGCATGTCAAATATTAGACTTGTCAAGATACTTGTGATTGCTTTAGCGGTGAGGAATCTACTAATTTTTTCATAAATATGATGCTGTTCACATGGAATTTTTCTCAACTTTAGTTACGAGAAAAGTTAAAATATGACTTTTTTTTTTTTTTTTTCCGTAGTGGAAGACCTGCTTTGATGGGGTTCCCATGATTCATGGAGATCTCCTATTTGGTTTTTCCTCCAATTAAAGTAATGGAAACAAATAAATAATTCAAAATTGTGGTCTCAAATGGCAGGCAAAGACTTATCTTCCTACATTTATGTATTCCTCTTCCAAAATTTATGTAATTTACTTATTCATCAACTTTTTTTTTTTCTTGTTTTGAGTAAACATAAATTCTTCAACTGAATGTATGCCAAAATTGTCTAGCAATTAATGAATATTAATGTTGAGGATAGAATTTCAACCGATTCATTATTAGAAATACTCCCACGTCAACAAATCAAATTAATTCAATTTAACATAATTCAAACCATTAAAACATAAAATAATTTTCTACGAGGTTAGAGATTCAAATCACTAATAGGATGAATTAAATAATAATAATAATGATGAAGGATAATGAATAAATCAAATTAAATTATATATATTTTTTCTCTATTTCAAACATAAAAAATTTTCGACTACATCCCTTTATTTAAATTATGTTTCCTTTCGTCTATGTCATAAGTTTTATCTAAAAATTAATGGGATGAATATATATATTTTTTATATCCATGAGTATTCGGACTAGTTTACGTGCATCTCGATTGGACAGCCTACGACATTTGGTGCCCGAAATTACTAATTCCTAAAAATTCCTAAGATAGGTGACCATCATGGGGTTTGAACTAGCCTCTTTGGATGAATTAGAAATTGATATATAAGATATTAGCTAAGGTTAGTAAATTAGAGGGAATAAGTTGGAAAATAAGTTGAAACTAAGTTGGGTTAATTTTAGCTTTAATGAAACAAAACAGGTATAGTTAATTGATAAAATCAATATTATTTGATTTTGTAGAAAGAAGTGGATTGGAAGCATGAAATGATTATTTTAAAATATAAGATAATGGTCGTATAAAATATTTTTTGAAAAAGAAATTGTCTCCAAATAGATGAATGAAATGAGATTGAAGAGATTTTTCTGGAAGAGTGAAATAACAATTCCCAATTTCGGGGTGGACTCATACTTTGAAATTTTTTTTTATTATTTATTTTGTTCAAAGGTCGAATAAAATTACAAAAAAATAATAAAAAAAAAGGATGTAAGCTTGAGGTAAGGCTCAACAAAAAGATTATAAATAAATCAAAGCCAAAAGAAACAAAAAACAAAAACAACAAATCACATCCTTGGGTAAAGCTAATCCAAAATCAACACCATTTCAAAAAAACAATATTTTCCTCTCTCTCCCTCCAGTTTCTTTATTCTTTGAAGTAAAAATGCTCTAAATCAATTAAAGTTGGTTGATTTTTAATGATATATTTTGTTAATTGAGAGGAGTGATTCAGGTATTTATTAAAGTTAAAAAAAGGTTAAATTATATTTTTAATATTTATATTTTAACTTTAATTTCAATTTAGTCATTTTCTTTAATTTTTATTAATTAGAAAACACCACTTGGACTACATTGGATATTGGATTCTAGTAAGCTATTACACTCAACAATCCTCTGAATAAGAGGATATTTCAAAAAAAAAAAAAACAAAAGAGAAATAGGAATCTAAGTTTAAATCGATTTGATATCTCTTTATCAATTATTCGATCTCCATCCTAAGAAGCTTTGAAACCTTGAAATTTCAATTAAGCTCTTTATGTCTTTAACAATTTGACTATTATATCTATAATTTGCTAAAAGATTTCCACATCTAAGAAGTAAAGATAAAAAAAAAAAAAAAAACCGAATTTAGGTAACCTTGAAGTAAATAATAATATATATACGCACACACAATAATGTCTTAGTCTTAGAAGTTAATCCAAATTCATGCTCTACAACAGTTTTGATTGCTAACATTAAGTTAGATGTTTCAGTCTCTCCCCTACGTTATTAACTACATAAAAAGATGATAATTACATTTTGTTACTCCAGTAATCATAGAAGGAGGAACCGGATTATTGAGTAATAAATGTCTTATTTATTTAACCACGCAGTATCAATCTAAATTGTTTTTTTTTTTCCTCCAAGTACAAATTACAATGTAGGGTTAAATACTTGACCGGCTGAGATATATTTTGGTACCAATTCAATACTCCCAAAAGATTTTTACGAATATTTTAGAGGTACTTCCAAACACTGACTTTGTTCTCAATTGGTTGCCCAGGTACTTGGGAATGGTGCCTGCTTTTGGCTTCGGATGCTATAAAAGGCATTTGGGAATGGTGTGCGATTCAGCAAGAAAAAACAATGCCACCATTAGATGCCAACTGAAGCTCTGGTTTGGTTTCTAACGTATGAGGACTTCAACTGAACCTCTGGTTAAAGCTCTCCTCAATAGTCCCACTACCATCAAATCCAGATCCCAGGCTCAACAACTCCACGCCCAAGTCCTCAAACTTCAACCTTCTTCTCTTTCCAATCTCTCTCTCCTTCTCTCCCTCTACTCCCACATTAATCTTCTCGATGATTCACTCCGTCTTTTCAACACCCTTCACTTCCCTCCACCTCTCGCTTGGAAATCTATCATCCGTTGCTACACTGCTCATGGCTTTCCTCATCAGTCCTTGGCTTCTTTTATTGGAATGCTGGCTTCTGGGCAATATCCAGATCACAATGTCTTTCCTTCTGTTCTTAAATCTTGTGCATTGCTTATGGATTTGAAGTTGGGGGAGTCCGTTCATGGGTACATCGTTAGGATTGGTTTGGATTTTGATTTGTATACTGGCAATGCGTTGATGAATATGTATTCCAGACTGCGGTTTCTGCAGGGAATTGGGAAGCAGAGACTTGCTGCGGGTGAGGTGTTCGATGAAATGTCTGAACGGACACAAAGTGGTAGAAATGGGTCTGGCTTCCTTGGTAACGAGGGGAGAAACGTGAGTTGCATCGAAGCATTTCATAGTGATGATTCTTGCGGAAACAGGGAGTTTGAATCACAAGTTGTTGATATCAATCAGAAGGTCGAATTAGACCTCAACCAGAGAAATGAATATAGCGAATTGGAAGCCTGTAATATTGAGGAAACCAAGGATGTTTCTCATTCGAAAGGGCGCCAAAGTGAGGATAGTGTTAGAAAGATCTTCGAGATGATGCCTGAAAGGGATCTTGTCTCGTGGAACACCATAATTGCAGGAAATGCTCGGAATGGTCTACATGAAGAAACTTTAACGATGGTTAGAGAGATGGGTGATGCTAATTTGAAGCCTGATTCATTCACTTTGTCTAGTGTGCTTCCTCTTATTGCAGAGTATGTAGATATTAATAAGGGGAAAGAGATACATGGATGTGCCATAAGACAGGGTCTTGATGCAGACATTTTCGTGGCAAGCAGCTTAATTGATATGTACGCAAAGTGCACCCGAGTAGTGGATTCATCTCGGGTATTTAATCTCTTGGCTAAACGAGATGGGATCTCATGGAATTCTATCATTGCAGGGTGTGTGCAGAATGGCCTATTTGATGAAGGTCTGAGATTTTTCCGCCAAATGTTGGTAGCTAAAATCAAGCCCAAGAGCTATTCCTTCTCAAGTATTATGCCAGCTTGTGCTCACTTGACAACATTGCACCTAGGGAAGCAGCTCCATGGATACATCATAAGGAATGGCTTTGATGACAACATATTTATAGCAAGTTCACTAATCGACATGTATGCGAAATGTGGGAACGTTAGGATGGCCAGGCAGGTCTTTGGTAGGATGAGATTACGAGACATGGTATCATGGACTGCCATGATTATGGGATGTGCTTTACACGGGCATGCGCTGGATGCTATTGACTTATTTGAACAAATGGAAACAGAAGGAATAAAGCCCAATTATGTGGCCTTCATGGCTGTATTAACTGCCTGTAGCCATGCCGGATTAGTTGATGAAGCTTGGAAATACTTCAATAGCATGACACTGGAGTTCAGGATTTCTCCAGGTGTGGAACACTACGCTGCTGTTTCGGACCTCCTTGGACGAGCTGGAAGGCTGGAGGAAGCTTATGACTTCATCTCTGGGATGCAAATGGGACAAACTGCGAGCATATGGTCTACTCTGCTGTCTGCTTGTCGAGTTCACAAAAACGTTGACATGGCCGAAAAGGTTGCCAAAAGGATTCTTGAAATTGATCCCAAGAACACCGGAACTTATGTGTTATTAGCAAACATATATTCTGCTGCCAAGAGATGGAAAGATGCCGCGAAATGGAGAGCCTCACTGAGGCACACGGGCGTGAGAAAGACACCAGCCTGCAGCTGGATTGAAGTTAAAAACAAGGTACATGCGTTCATGGCCGGTGACAAATCCCATCCATATTATGAGAAAATAAGAGAAGCCATGGAAGTTCTAATGGAGTTGATGGAAAAAGAGGGTTATGTGCCGGATACAAGTGAGGTTTATCATGATGTGGAAGAGGAACAAAAGAGGACTTTGCTTTACAGCCACAGTGAGAGGCTTGCCATAGTGTTTGGTATCATCAACACGCCAACCGGGACGACGATTCGTGTCACAAAGAACCTCCGTGTGTGTACAGATTGTCACACTGCAACAAAGTTCATTTCAAAGATAGTTGGGAGGGACATTGTTGTGAGGGATAACAGTCGATTTCACCATTTCAGAAATGGAATATGCTCTTGTGGAGATTTCTGGTAACAGAACAGTGAGGAGATTTTGTGATATGTATAATTTAATATAAGTTGGAAGTTTCTCAAGGAGCACAGTGTAGGGGAAAACATCAAACACCTTGCTTTTGGAAATGCCTCCAATCTAACTTCTGAGGAAGACTTGGAATTTCTTTCGTACATAACAAGGAACTTCCGATCCTCTTACACATTCTTTCTGTTCCGTGCTTGAATTGCCCCAGCAGGTGTGAAAAGAATACAAACACGATCGACATGTCCTTTTTAAAATTATTATAATATTTTTACCTATTTTGACATTTACATTCAAATTAAAATAATTTTTAGTTTATGATATTTACATTTAAGAAACAATACGAAAAAGGTGATTAAATATGGAATAATCAAAAGGAAGTACATGTTTTTTTGAACACATGTAAACCAAATAAGCATTTATTTCGATGACTCAATACCTTATATAAAAAAATAATAAATAGCCAATCTAAATGTAATTGAACGGGTTAAAATATTTATCTCAAACTAATAAGATGGTAAGTTCGAATTCCCACCTAAAAAATAATGATAATAAATAGTTGCGTTGCTGCATAGAAAAAGTATAAATAAATTTAATTTTTATTATTTACCACTCTCAACATATTTCTGTGTTTGGGGAACGAAATTGTTAGAAGGTTGGATTTGGATCTCTTTCTTTTTCTTTTATTTTCTCCTTCATTCTTTTACTTTTTTTTTCAATGGAAACCTAATTGCAGCCGTTCGCGAGTGAAATTGATATTTGGATCTTGCAGGATCTTTCGCTCGCTCATCTTCTCTGCTTCGTCGCTTCTATCGCAACTACCTCGAAAGCGAAAATGCAGGTACGAACTGCAGACGAAACCTCTTATTTGTTGTTTCCTTTCCTATACTTTTTCATCGCCAATTTTCGGTTGTGTGTTCTTACTAGAGCAGTAATTGTTTCCTTTTTTCAATTTCCGCTTATTCAACCCTAGGGAGACGATTTTATAAGTTATTTTTTCCTTGTACTTGTTGCTCAACCAATTCGTTTAGTTGATTGGAGGCTTTTCTCTGATGTGATATTCCTGAATCCAGTATTTGTGGGATATGAGGAATTTGATACTGTTTCTCCGTGTCCGTGGAATTAATTCTCCACTTAGCTCACGAAGGAAATGAAAAAAGATATACACCTTTATTAAGGGTTAATTTATTTTCAGTTGCTATGTGAATCCGAATCATCTCATTGCTCCGGATGAAGTGAATAACAAAGAACTATAACGATTTTATATTAAGTCCTTAATTTCTTTATTAATTTTCCCATTCTATTCAGTTGTTTATTTGTGTCATATGCGGATGTCAAACCTCTTAATTAATAATTCGTCTTTCAAATTTCAGTTTTGATTTTGGATACCTGTCATTGCTTGAGGTTGCTTTAGATGGACAGGGCGCTGATATTGATTTCTCATATTCGATGCAGGCCAGCGATAGATTTAACATCAATTCCCAGCTTGAGCACCTTCAGGCTAAATATGTGGGAACTGGGCATGCTGACTTAAATAGATTGTTAGTTTTCTTATTCCTTCCGAGTCTTGATCTTATATTGCTTTGCATACTAGTTTTCAAGTCTCACTTCACATTCTGTGTGTACAGTGAATGGGCCGTCAATATTCAGCGTGATAGCTATGCATCTTATGTTGGACATTACCCCATCCTAGCATACTTTGCTATATCAGAAAATGAATCTATTGGGAGGGAACGCTACAACTTTATGCAGGTTGATATGTTTTTTTTCATTTATTTTTATTTTTTCTATTTGTATCTTTACTAGTGAGTTGCTGTCACAACCCGCCTCAGATTACCCCACTGTACCCTAAGACAGATCATGCTGATGGTAGATCCCAACTATACTATGGAACCCACTGCCATTCTCCCCGATCTTGCATTTAACTCCCAAAACTTACCCAACTAGCTCTACTAACTGGCTGTAATGGGCTGTCGAATGAGATCATATATTTTGAAGTCTAAACATTTATTTTCAAGTTTGTTTTATCCAAATTTATTACGAAATTTGTCGAAATTTTTATGATTATCTTTCAGTCAAAGTTGTACTATCCACAATTTGATTTCTAAAAATTAGTTCCATTCGTGTTAGTTGGACAACGGGTTCCAAACCTTAGTTGGTGTCTATTGTCGGCACATCACACCCTAGGTTGGATAGGGGGTGATCTAGAGCGGGTCGTGTGAGTGCCCTTTGCAGGTTGCTTTTTTGTTTAAGCTAATCCTATCTGGTGGTTTCTGCGTAAAATTGTTCTTATCTCTGAAAGTATCGATTATTACCTTCTGATGCACCATGTTAACTTGCCTGTGCCTTCCACCCATGAATATGAGTTTTAAACCCTATTTGTTTCTTATGTAAATGTTCGTTTCATTCTTTTCTATTTTTTGTTTTTCATCCCATCTATATGGATTGTTATCTTCGCCTGAACAGTGATTCAAGTGAATTCACTCATATTGCTTGAGTTTTCTCATGAACAGTGCTGTAATATATGTTGCTTGAGTTTCAAAGTGTGGAATCATACACATCACGTAACTAGCGGTCCTTTTCTTAACAAGGGATGGCTAAATTTCATTGTATTTCCTCCTCGATTTCATATAGGACATAATTAAATGCACAGTGGTTGTTTTTCTTGACATTTTTTTTCCTGTCTGCAGAAAATGCTTTTACCCTGTGGCCTTCCTCCAGAAAGGGAAGATGATTGAATTGTTATTAACAAGTTGTAGTCAAAGATTGCAAACGACAGATCTTTGTTGGGTTGATGAGTTTCTCCTTTCTGAACCAACTGTGTTTGGTTAAGAGATGGTAGGAAGTGTGAATTATTTTCTCATGTAATGTTCTGGTCAAAGTAAGAATTTGTTTCCACTTTTCCAGGACACATGAAAGTTAGTGAACTTGTGTACTTATACTATTTCTCGTATTCCTGGCCCTTTTTGCCGTTCAAAATCACGGATAAACTCAAAAACTTAAATTGGTAGACTTCGATAATTTTAATCTTTTATAGATGGCTTAACAATCTTGAAGAGCAGGAACTACCAGCTAAAACTGTTATTACTTTGAATTTAAGATTTACTTTTTTTTTTCTTTGACAATTATTGACTGCGTAACTATGAAACCATAAGTATCAAGTATTTCATTGGAAAAAACAATCAAATGAAAATTTTTGTTAAAAGAAGGTTAAACAAAAAGTTCGATTATTCAATCTTTTAGAATTATGTTGTATTTTAAAACAAGCTCGTGTCTATGTTTGTAAACTTTAATTCTGTATCAATATGTCTGTCACTAAACTTCACATCTAGCGCTTGTACAGTCAAATACCTAAAATTGTTTTAAACAATTCATATAATCAGGTGTATCTTATTGATATGAGAAAAATGTTCCCAATGTAGTTTACATCAAAGTCATACTTTCTAGTCAGTTAAACAAATTCAAATTCAAACTTGAAAAAAAAAAATCCCTAACAAAAAAGTAAATCAAATCCTACTAATTCAAGCTTG